TGGTGGCCGACGGCCGGATTCTTCGCGAAGTCATCCTTCGCGACGCGCCAGGGAAGCTGAAATTCATCGCGGGTTCTTGTCCGTTGTTCTCCAGAAAATCATTGGATTGGTTTAAGGGACATGTTACAGGAAAACCTTAACTTTGATGGTAAAGACCCTGGTTTCCGGTTAAGATTTTCCCTTAATCCAACGAGAAAACCATAGATAGATTGCTACGTGTGTCCAACCTTGGAGCTACAAGTCCCTTACAAGTCCAATAAGCATATAAACAGATAGATGCGCATGTCCCAGACAAATGGTCAGTTCCTAACCCAGAATCCCAAGTATTGCTCGCATATTTCCCCCTATTTCCCATATTTGATGTCTATAAATCTCTATCTTCGATGGACCTATCCGATCTATCCGTTTTTTTGATGGTTCTGCAACCCAGAGTTGTCTGCCCATTGTGTAACCGCTCCTATGCACAAGCTGCAAACCACGGGTGACGGGTGAGTCGGGTCGGATGAGTCGGCCCGAGCTAATGAGTGAGTCAGAAATGACTCGTTGGGTGAGTCGGAAAGAACGAATGGGTGAGTCAGGCTTGTAGGTGACTAGCATTTTGAAGCCTGCCACGGCTCAACCGCACTAGCTCCGCCAGCAGGCTTTTTCCCCTGAGTCCCGAGTTGTTTTTTGGAAATCAAAGTCTTTGTCGAAAGCGTGAAACGCGCGGCGGCGAAGCTACTGTGTTGCCACGAAAAGATGCACACCCGTCACTGCACAGCATCCATACCCAAAAAATACAACCGCTCCAAAAATAGAAAAGTAAATGGTGTTCCGAAGGAACCCGAAGTGGCACATCTATAGCTGTCAACTGTGCACGATTCGGCGCATCTGAATAACGCAAGAACAGCTCCACTTCAGATTGCTCCAATCTGCGTCACCTTGCATCGCATTTTCCAAGGAAATGGGTCGGGGCTTCCTCTGGGCCTAGTTCAAGAGTTTTCTTTGCCCAAGTATGTGCACCAAGCACTTGTTTCATCCAAGATCCGAATTGGGGTTTCACTTCCCGAGGTTCAAGCAATGTGGTGTCAACATACTCACTAGTGACCAGTGGGAAATCTGATTGGCTGTTCAGCCACCGTTTCGAAACATGTCCGAAAGAAATTCGGAAAGGCAAGGTATAAAAAAAGGGCTAGAAAGCTGACTTCACCCATGTTTGAAGCGTTGCCTACCCCAAATGTGGCATTTCCGGATTTGACGCAAGCAAATCTGGTGTGACCGCCATGAAAATCATGAAGAAAGACAAAACCCAACTAAATAGCGAATCCGAACCATCCCCACTCCCCTTCGCTCAGGCCAGAGAGACCAGCAATAAATAAGTTTCACATCTGTCAGCGGCACTAACAACAACACTGACGAAGTGAAGTTGGTTCGCCTCGGTCTGGGCTGCGCGATTGTGCCAGGAACAATGCAAAGACTTACCAACGATGAAAATATTGACGATGCTTTTCACCCTAATTTTGACCCTCCTGCTCATGCATGCAGATTTGAATCAGGACGGTCTCCAGGACGATCATGTCCAGCCATCCTTGGAAAAAATCCAGACATTTCCGAGGATTGCGTTTTCACGTCGTCTTGACTTTCTCTTTCCTCGGACCAGGATTTCCTCCATGCAGGAGGATAATGTTCACCCTAATTCTGATCCTAATTGAAATTCCGCCATTGCCCGTTTTTGGCCAAATCCTGGCCGGAACCTTTTGGAAGCAACTTTCTGCCATTTGGCGGCCCCGCAGCCGGCTATTGAATTTCTCTTCTGCGATCATTGGGAAACGGCCGTTTTTGGCCAAAAGCAAATTTCTGCCATTTGGCGGCGCCGCGGCCGGCTATTGAATTTCTTTTCTGGGCTCATTCGGAAACGACCGTTTTTAGCCAAATCCTGGCCGGGAACCTTTTGGAAGCACATTTCTGCCATTTGGCGACGGTCTCCAGGACGATAATTTTGACCCTAATTTTGACCCCGCGCCTTCTCATGTCAATTTGAAGCGGGACGGTCTCCAGGACGATATTTATCACCCTAATTTTGACCCTGCGCCTTCTCATTTCAATTTGAAACGGGACGGTCTCCAGTGCCAGTGGCCGTTTTTGGCCAAATCCTGGCCGGGAGCCTTTTGGAAGCAACTTTCTGCCATTTGGCGGCCCCGCGGCCGGCTATTGAATGTCTCTTCTGGGATCATTGGGAAACGGCCGTTTTTGGCCAAATCCTGGCCGGGAGCCTTTTGGAAGCAAATTTCTGCCATTTGGCGGCGCCGCGGCCGGCTATTGAATTTCTTTTCTGGGCTCATTCGGAAACGACCGTTTTTAGCCAAATCCTGGCCCGGAACCTTTTGGAAGCAAATTTCTGCCATTTGGCGGCGGTCTCCAGGACGATAATTTTGACCCTAATTTTGACCCTGCGCCCTTTCATTTCAATTTGAAACGGGACGGTCTCCAGGACGATAATTTTGACCCTAATTTTGACCCTGCGCCCTATAATTTGAAACGGGACGGTCTCCAGGACGATAATTTTGACCCTAATTTTGATTCTGCGACTTCTCATTTCAATTTGAAGCGGGACGGTCTCCAGGATGATAATTTTGACCCTAATTTTGACCCTGCCCCTTCTCATTTCAATTTGAAGCAGGACGGTCTCCAGTGCCAGTGGCCGTTTTTGGCCAAATCCTGGCCGGGAGCCTTTTGGAAGCACATTTCTGCCATTTGGCGACGGTCTCCAGGACGATAATTTTGACCCTAATTTTGACCCTGCGCCTTCTCATGTCAATTTGAAGCGGGACGGTCTCCAGAACGATAATTTTGACCCTAATTTTGACCCTTTGCCTTCTAATGTCAATTTGAAGCGGGACGGTCTCCAGAACGATAATTTTGGCCTTAATTTTGACCCTTTGCCTTCTAATTTCAATTTGAAGCGGGACGGTCTCCAGGACGATAATTTTGACCCTAATTTTGACCCTGCGCCTTTTCATTTCAATTTGAAGCGGGACGGTCTCCAGGACGATAATTTTGATCTTAATTTTGACCCTGCGCCTTCTCATGTCAATTTGAAGCGGGACGGTCTCCAGGACGATAATCTTGACCCTAATTTTGCCCCTGCGCCTTCTCATTTCAATTTGAAACGGGACGGTCTCCAGGACGATAATTTTGACTCTAATTTTGACCCTGCGCCTTCAAACGAAGGTTTGAATCAGTACGATCTCCAGGACGATACCTGTCACCTTAATTTTGACTCTGCTCATGCAGATTTGAATCAGGACGGTCTCCAGGACGATCATGTCCAGCCATCCTTGGAAAAAATCCAAACATTTCCGAGAATTGCGATTTCACGTCGTCTTGTCTTTCTCTTTCCTTGGACCAGGATCTCCTCCATGCACGAGGAAAATGTTCCCCTTAATCTTGATCCTAATTGAAATTTGAAATTGCGACTGTCTCGAAGAGAACAATTTCGACCCTCACTATGGCCCTGCATCTTCTTATTTGAATTTGATTCGGAACTGTCTCCAGGACGCTAATATCAACCTTAATATTCATCCTGCACTTTTATTTGAAAGACCATATTTTTCACCTGAAATTTGAGCCTGCGCCTTCTCATGTCAATTCGAAACGGGACGGTCTCCAGGACGATAATTTTGACCCTAATTTTGACCCTGCGCCTTCTCATTTCAATTTGAAGCGGGACGGTCTCCAGGACGATAATTTTGACCCTAATTCTGACCCTGCGCCTTCTTTTTAGATTCGAATCAGGACGGTCTCCAGTGCCATTGGCCGTTTTTGGCCAAATCCTGGCCGGGAGCCTTTTGGAAGCAACTTTCTGCCATTTGGCGGCCCCGCGGCCGGCTATTGAATTTCTCTTCTGGGATCATTGGGAAACGGCCGTTTTTGGCCAAATCCTGGCCGGGAGCCTTTTGGAAGCAAATTTCTGCCATTTGGCGGCGCCGCGGCCGGCTATAGACTTTCTCTTCTTGGATCATTGGGAAACGGCCGTTTTTGGCCAAACCCTGGCCGGGAGCCTTTTGGAAGCAAATTTCTGCCATTTGGCGGCGCCGCGGCCGGCTACAGACTTTCTCTTCTTGGATCATTGGGAAACGGCCGTTTTTGGCCAAATCCTGGCCGGGAGCCTTTTGGAAGCAAATTTCTGCCATTTGGCGGCGCCGCGGCCGGCTATAGACTTTCTCTTCTTGGATCATTGGGAAACGGCCGTTTTTGGCCAAATCCTGGCCGGGAGCCTTTTGGAAGCAAATTTCTGCCATTTGGCGGCGCCGCGGCCGGCTATAGACTTTCTCTTCTTGGATCATTGGGAAACGGCCGTTTTTGGCCAAATCCTGGCCGGGAACTTTTTGGAAGCACATTTCTGCCATTTGGCGGCCCCGCGGCCGGGTAATCCGGGTATTGAATTTCTTTTCTGGGATCTTTGGGAAACGGCCGTTTTTGGCCAAATCCTGGCCGGGAGCCTTCTGGAACACATTTGGCGGCGGCGCGGCCGGCTATAGACTTTCTCTTCTGGGATCATTGGGAAACGGCCCTTGTTGGCCAAATCCTGGCCGGGAGCCTTCTGGAAGAACATTTCTCAATTTGTCGGCCCCGCGGCCGGCTATTGAATTTCTCTTCTAAGATCATTGGGAAACGGCCGTTGTTGGCCAAATCCTGGCCGGGAGCCTTTTGGAAACACATTTCTGCCATTTGTCGGCCCCGCGGCCGGCTATTGAATTTCTCTTCAGGGATCATTGGGAAACGGCCGTTTTTGGCCAAATCCTGGCCGGGAGGCTTTTGGAAGCAAATTTCTGCCATTTGGCGGCGCCGCGGCCGGCTATTGAATTTCTTTTCTGGGCTCATTAGGAAACGGCCGTTTTTAGCCAAATCCTGGCCGGGAGCCTTTTGGAAGCACATTTCTGCCATTTGGCGACGGTCTCCAGGACGATAATTTTGACTCTAATTTTGACCCCGCGCCTTCTCATGTCAATTTGAAGCGGGACGGTCTCCAGGACGATATTTATCACCGTAATTTTGACCCTGCGCCTTCTCATTTCAATTTGAAACGGGACGGTCTCCAGTGCCAGTGGCCGTTTTTGGCCAAATCCTGGCCGGGAGCCTTTTGGAAGCAACTTTCTGCCATTTGGCGGCCCTTCGGCCGGCTATTGAACTTCTCTTCTGGGATCATTGGGAAACGGCCGTTTTTGGCCAAATCCTGGCCGGGAGCCTTTTGGAAGCAAATTTCTTCCATTTGGCGGCGCCGCGGCCGGCTATTGAATTTCTTTTCTGGGCTCATTCGGAAACGACCGTTTTTAGCCAAATCCTGGCCGGGAACCTTTTGGAAGCAAATTTCTGCCATTTGGCGGCGGTCTCCAGGACGATAATTTTGACCCTAACTTTGACCCTGCGCCCTTTCATTTCAATTTGAAACGGGACGGTCTCCAGGACGATAATTTTGACAACCCTAATTTTGACCCTGCGCCCTTTCATTTCAATTTGAAACGGGACGGTCTCCAGGACGATAATTTTGACCCTAATTTTGATTCTGCGACTTCTCATTTCAATTTGAAGCGGGACGGTCTCCAGGATGATAATTT